TCTGAAAAACAAACTGAGGGTTCTAGAGGGGAGGAGGGTGGGTGGATGGGTTAGCCTGGTGATGGGTATTAAAGAGGGCACATTCTGCGTGGTGCGCTGGGTGTTATGCACAAACAATGAATCGTGGAACACTACATCAAAAACTAATGATGTAATGTATGGTGATTAACATAACAATAAAAAATTATTTAAAATTAAAATAAATAAATAAATAAATAAAAATATGATCAGCATCAATAATTACCAGGAAATTACAAATAAAAGTACTATGAGATACCTTTCACACCTCAAAATTTGATACAAATTTTAAAAGTCTGAAACAATAGAGATACTTATCTACTGCTAGGAGGAATTTGAAATTGTACCACTTTGGAAACAGTTTGACATAACCTATTAAGGTAACATGCTCACATATCCTACCTGAGTAAGAAATTCCACTCCTAATTATGTGTCCCAGAAATAATCTTGTACATCTCCACCAGCTGATACACAAGAATGTTCACATCAATATTATTCCTAACAATAACTAACCAGAAACAACCCAAATACCTATCATGTGTAAAACTGATAACTGTACAAGAGAACACTATATGGCAGTAAAAATGAAATCACAACCATATAGATAACACCATGTTGCATCCAAATCATATGGTGTAATTTCATTAATAAAACTAAGCAATACATTAGCTAGTGATAGATATATAAGTGAAAAAGCTGTAAAAAAAAAAAAAAGTCAATCAGAATAGTGGTTATTATCAGAAAGGAGCACCCAAAGTATTCCTTAGATCCTAGCAATTTCTGTTTTCCAATGTGGTATGTTGACTACTTGGGTGAGCACCTGGGTGTTCATTTTATTATTATGTACACTGTATATACACTCTTGCATTTGTTATCTATTTCATGTCATTAAAACTTAAAGGACTTATAATTTAAAAAAAGATATGGAAAAGCATCAGTAGAAAAATAATAGAATGATACCACTTCATATATAGATCATTCCCTACAGAATACATGTAGTTTTATTTAGTCAAAAAGACAACTAAAACAGGAACCACAAAAAAACAAACAACCAAAAAACTTCAGATATGTAAGTAGACGGCAAAAGGGATAAAGAAGCACTTCCATAGGGGCGCCTGGGTGGCTCAGTCATTAAGTGGCTGCCTTGGGCTCAGGTCATTTCTCAGGGTCCTGGGATCGAGCCCCGCATCGGGGTCCCTTGTCAGCGGGAGGCCTGCTTCTACCTCTCCCACTCCCCTTGCTTGTGTTCCCACTCTCGCTGTGTCTATCTCTGTCAAATAAAATCTTAAAAAAAAAAAAAGAAGCACTTCCATAACTTCCAAAATATAAAATTTTATATAACTCACTAATCTTCTGCTATTAAAACTCGGAATTGTTATCTGCTGATTGCATTCACTGATGTCCTTCTCACATAAACCACAATCTTAATACCTTGGTGAATTTAAGCAAAGCAAGAATTTGCTGTTCCTTCTGTGTGGCACCTTTGTTTCTCATTCACCTGCACAGCAAGAGAGGCTCTTTGAGATTTTACCTTTATTTGAGGTGTCCTCTTAAATAGTCCACCTTTGGCAGGTTCTCCAGACTTACCTTAGCTCCCTGAATTGCTGTCGGAAGAAAACACCAAAATCTCTGGTGCTCAACAGAAAATCCCAACACAAAAACTATCTTTGGCTTTCAATCACCTCCCACCTAATTTTGGACTTTGTGTCACCTCGGCAATGTTTATAAACAGAAGGAATGTTTTTAAATATTTAATCAGTATCATAGTTGTTTTGGCCAATGAGTTGCTCCTTGGCATTTGTACACTTTACCCTGCTCTTCGGCAAATCACCTTCAGCCTGACTTTGACAGAATGATTCTCTGCACTCATAGTTTTACTAGACTTCATGATAGATGGTAGGTATGACTTTCTACTTTGTACGAACCAACCAACTGGTAGCAGTGTTATTGCTGAAAACAATAAAAATACCTATGAAATGTAAATTTTACCATAAAGCAATTTGTTTTATAGTACTTGTACCTTAAATGACCGAGAGAAGGTAATACTCTAATTATTCAGCATATATGAAAGATATAAAAGTGTAATGGTGAATATTTGTTGTCTGAAAAAGAAGATATACTTATTTTTTTAATAAATGATAACAGAAAATGACCACTGGAGAAGTAATTGTACAAATTCCCTAACTTAGCCTAGTCTGAATTTATCCAGTCACATATTCCTCTCATATGTGAGAATACAAAGGGTAGGAAGTCGATTCTCATGTGCTTTTTGCATATTCAACATGGTTCCAGGCATGTGATGAGTGAGTCAAAGACTTTAAAGAGCAAGTAAGTGAATGAATGAATATTTCCATATGACCCTATTTTAGTTGACACCCTATTGTCACATGTGACCTTATGTCGGTTTTTATCCTCTCTTTACGGGCATCCTCTGCTGTATTGGTTTCCTGATCTTTGCCCTTCCTCTCAAATCATTTTACATGCATATGATATCTGTCTTTCTTGTTAAAGTGTAATAAGCAGATGCTGGATATGAGGTGACAGTTGAAGTTTAGAACGAGCTCCCAAATGAAATCCTCTTTAAAGTCAACAGAAATGCTGAGAATCTGTCAAGGGAGGAGTCTTAGACTCACCTGTATCGAAGAATGTGGAAATCAGAAAGCCGAAGGATATAGAGGCGATGACAAAGCACAGGAAAAACACAAAGACGAGAGATGGGTCACTGTACCGGAGGACTACATCAGGTACGATCTAACAAAACAACCAGGATGCCAGTTTAGTCCTACAGTAAGAGGTGTCATAGATAAACAAGGGAGGCCAAAGAAAATACCCTTACCAGTCAAGTAGCCCTAGTGAAACGGGTCACTGCTCAGAGAGATGCAGAGTTAGCTAAAAAAAACTCTTTTCTTGTGGAAGGGCTGCCCATCTAGGTCTAGGGTTTTGTGTGCTGATAAGCTGAGCACCTTCTGAATTCCTTAGGGGACTCAATGAAAAATGTACATATTCTTTTGCAACCTAAAACCCACTCAGTCCATCCCCACAGTTATTTTATCCCTCTCGAAATGTAGATGCAGTGTGCTGCATTCAAATACATACTTGCCTTGACAAATAAAATCACGCACAGTAAACAGACGATAATTAAAAACATCAGAAAGAATGAGACAAAATAGGAAGCCCAGAGCATAGCATTACTGAGTCCTATCATGAGCTGGTACTCCTGTAGGAGAGGAAACACAAAACAAATGTCATGAAAAACAATTCATAGTTCTCAAAATGCATTCATAAATATTATCTGACTTATTTCCCATAAAAACTTACATAGGTTAAGTATTATCTTCCTCATTTTACAGAGAAATCAAGTCTCAGAATAGTCAAGTGACCTGATCAAAACCATCAACCTAATGAGTGGCAGAGCTACGATGCCAACTCAGAATTTCGAGTCCAGATCTTCTCCCTGATAACTTACCAGTTGCAGTTCTAAGACAAGAAATAATTAAAAATTTAAAACACAAAAAATAAGACCACCTTTCTTTTTATTATGTTCTACCTCCAGGAAGTATTAAAGGAAGGTATATAAGCTTTAATTCCATTATAGTTTAAAGCAGGGACAGGCAAACTACAGCCTATGGGCTAAATCCAGGCTGCCTCATACTTTTATAAATAGAGCTTTATTGGCACACAGCCATGTTCACTAATTTCTATACTGTGGCTGCATTCACCCTACAATAGAGCTGATAGCTGTAATATGGCCTGCAAAGCCTAAAATATATATTATCTGGTTTTGTTTACAGGTAAAGTTTGCCATTCCCTAATTTACATAAACCCTTCTAATTTTATAGATCATAAAGCCAGACTCAAAGAGGGTGAATTGTTTCTACAAAGTTGCACAGAAGGAGCTCTCTGTTCTGGGCTCTTCCTCCTCCATCATGCTGCCTCTGTACATTGCTGAGGCCACTTTTCCCTAGTACAATGAATCTGAGAGAGATTCCCCTGGTTTGAATCCTCTCTCTGCCACTTACCAGGAGTATAACCTTGAGAAAACTCCTTGACCTCTCTGTGCCTCAATGTCCTGATCTGTGAATACTAAAATCCAAATAACATAATGGGCAAGTTCGCAGAGTTTTAGTAGTGAGCTTCATGAACTACAATTCAGCAGAGTATCCAAAATATGTAAAGAACTTATAAAATTCAACACCCAAAAACCAAATAATCCAATTAAAAAATGGACAGAAGACATGAACAGACATTTCTCCAAAGAAGACATACAGACAGCCAAGACACATGAAAAGATGCTCATCATCACTTATCATCAGGGAAATGCAAATCAGAATGAGATATCACCTCACACCTTTCAGAATGGCTAAAATCAAAAACATAATAAACAATGCTGTTGGTAAGGATGTGGGGGAAAAAAACAAACCCTAGTAATAAACTTAACTGGAGAACTGACAGACCTGTACTCTGAAACTATAAAATATCATTGAAAGAAACTAAAGATGACACAAATGGAAAGAAATTCCATGCTCATGGATTGGAAGAACACATAGTGTTAAAAGGTCTATACTATCCAAAGCAATCTACAGATTTAATGCAATCCCTGTCAAAATACCACCAGCATTTTTTACAGAGCTAGAACAAACAATCCTAGAATTTACATGGAACCACAAAAGATCCTAAATAACCAAAGTAATCTTGAAAAGAAAAAACTGGAGGGGAGCAGGGGAAAGATGGTGGAGGAGTAGGGGACCCTATTCCAACTGGTCCCCGGAATTGAGCTGGATATCTACCAGACCACTCTGAGCACCCACGAAATCAGCCTGAGATGTAAGAAAATAGATCTGGATCTCTACAAACAGAACATCGCGGGTGGTTGGTTTCGAAGTACGAAGTACGAAGTGGGGAGCCATGATTCCCTGGGCAGATATCGGAGGATAAACAGCAGCGGGAGGGAGCCTGGCCGTGGGGACCCTACACCGCCGGTGAGCGACAGTCTCGCTCTCTGGGGACGGGGCACAGACTCGAAGACTGGTAGTGGCGGGGAAAGGACTTTAGGGCAGTGCCTGGGACGGGAAACCTGGAGCGGCAGGGTCGGGGGGCGGCTGGCGGTTTTAGAAGCACAAAGGGCAGAGACATGCCCCAACCTGGAGGCAGGACTGGGAGCGCTGCGGAGTGGCACACAACCCAGGACGCTGCAGTTTATAGCAGCACGGACAGAAACGGAGACAGTGTGGCCTGGAGAGCTCACTGAAGAAGAGACTGCGATCTCTCTGCTCTGAGGCAGAGGGTTGGAAACGGTCTCTTCTGCTCTGACTCACAGAAGAGATGCGGAAAGCCTCCAGGGAAAGCCTCCAGAGAACAAAAGCCCCCCAAAACTGGTTCCCGCTGAGACCATCCCTCGCCACAGGGGGGCAGGGCAACTCTGCCCAAATAGGGTTGCCTGAGTAACAGCACGGCAGGCCACTCCCCTAGAACACAGGCTGGGAAAACAAGAGGCCAGCAACTCTAAGGTCCCCAGAAAACAGGTGCATCTTGCTTGGGTTCTGGTGAATAATTTGGACTCTATACATTCCCTCAATCTGGACTCTATACATTCCCTCAATCACCCATCAACAGAATGACTAGGAGGAGGAACCCCCAAAATAGAAAAGACTCAGACATTATGACTTATGCAGCAGATTTACAAATGGATGCAGATATAACCAAGATGTCGGAGATGGAATTCAGGCTAGCAGTTGTGAAGACAATAGCTAGAATGGAGAAATCAATTAATGGCAACATAGAATCTCTAAGGGCAGAACTGAAAGCTGAATTGGCAGAACTTAAAAATGCTATCAATGAGATCCAATCTAATCTAGATAATCTAACAGCTAGGGTAAGTGAGGCAAAAGAATGAATAAGTGACCTGGAAGAAAATTTAGTAGATAAAAAGGGAAAAGAGGAGGCCAGGGAAAAACAACTAAGAATCCATGAAAATAGAATCAGAGAAATAAGTGACACCATGAAGCGTTCTTATGTCAGAATTATTGGGATCCCAGAGGGAGTGGAGAGAGAGGGAGGACTAGAAGATATATTTGAGCAAATTGTAGCTGAGAACTTCCCTAATCTGGGGAATGAAACAAACATTCGTGTCCTAGAGGCAGAGAGGACCCCTCCCAAGATCAAGGAAAATAGGCCAACACCCCGGCAGAAACTGAAAGAATATGTGACCACTAAGCCGGCCCTGCAAGAAATATTAAGGGGGGATTCTATAAAAGGAGAAAGACCCCAAGAGTGATATACAACAGAAATTGACAGGGACAATCTATAAAAGCAACGTCTTCACAGGCAACATGATGACAATTAATTCATATCTTTCAATAATCGCTCGCAACATGAATGGCCTAAATGCTCCCATAAAACGGCACAGGGTGGCAGATTGGATAAAAAGACAGGACCCATCCATATGCTGTCTACAAGAGACTCATTTTGAACCTAAAGATACATCCAGACTGAAAGTGAAGGGATGGAGATCCATCTTCCATGCCAGCGGACCTCAAAAGAAAGCTGGGGTAGCAATTCTTATATCAGACAAA